CACTATATAACACCCCACCATGCAGACAAACAAACCCAATCTAAATGGTCACACAGTTAGCACACACCTTCCTCCCGTAGGAGCGAGACCCTCTCTCACCGCCTTGACGGTATCGTACAGCCTGGCCTCAGTCATGTCACATTCACACTATATACACCCCATATACATACAAACAAACCCAATCTAAATAGTCACACAGTCAGCACATACCTTCCTCCCGTAGGAGCGAGACCCTCTCTCACCGCCTTGACGGTATCGTACAGCCTGGCCTCAGTCTCACGGTTGTTGGCGTACATGCGCGGCAGATTGTCAAGTAGCTGTACGATAACATCGCGACTCTCATGCACATCCACAGCCAAGCCCTGCGACAACGGTACGAACACCTCCGAAGTGTCGGCCACCACCAGCATCTGTGGCTGGGACAGACCCGCCTGCGCATGCATGCACACAAAGAAAGGTGTGGAAGTAAGCATCAGCAGCTATACTTCGTATTCAGATGTGAAGATTGATATGAATAGCACGTGTGGTTGTAGGGTACCGGTGCATTCAAATGCAATCCCATTTACTACAAAAAACAAGCAAGTTCAAATGATGTCCCAGATGTTTTATAAGGACGTCGATAGAGAAAGCGCGAGGACAGAAACACGTTCAATATGCCCCGGGCGACGCATAAGATTATTCCACCAGACTGGATTTATGCCAAGCAAATACCGGTATTGTACCGGTATTGTCCCGCATTTAGATGCAAGTTATTACGGGAGTGAACCGTGATTAGACCGGTAGTAGACTAGGGTGGCCATCGCCACCCTTGAATTGAAATGCATCCATTAAAATATAGAGAAGCCGCGCATACAAACACACACGCACACCATCTGCAGGGGGTTTTTTTACATATATACAGAAATCTGCAACTATGACTGAATACAACCACAAGCACAATAACACTTCCTTGTATGTGCACGCTCACATACAAGTACAAGTACACGTAAACGTAAACGTAATCGTAATCGTAAACATACACGTACACGTCCAAGTCTAGTACACATACACGTACATGTACAGGCACAAGCACAAGCACACGTACACGTACACAAAGTCATACCCTCAGATCGTAGAAGTGCACAGTCTTATCGTAGGTCACAATACCACACTTAATGGGAGATTTCTCGGCCCCCTCGGGCTTAGGGAAGTGATCCAGCATGTTCTTGATCGTCCAGGTCGCCGCAGATACCATGCCACTCTGCACGGCTGCGTACGACACGTCAATGGCAAACACATACTGGGCCGCGTGCGGCTTGCGGTTGTAGTACTGCGATGTGCAGGCAAAGTCCACCGTGCCATGCAGAAGCTCTTGGCGACTGTGGAGGTGGATTACGAGATATAAATAAATGTATGTGTTAGTTATAGTAGGATATATCAGCATGTGTGTTAAGTGTACTTGGTTATAGCGATGTGTAATGTATGCACAGTGCGCCGCTTCATGCAGACGTTCTTAACGACTATGAGTATAGCACACGTGTTATAAGTGTATCTGTCAGTTTTGGTATGATAGAACCATATGTGTATACAAAGGGCAATTGGTTGCAGCATTGCGAAGTGCAGGGCAACGTCCCACCGTTCCATGCACAAGCTCCTGACGACTGTTAGAGTGAAACACTCGAGAAGCGGATGGATTACATCGTATGATAGGAGAGTAGGATATGCGTGGGTGTGATCGGTCCACATGCACGCACCCAGGGAACGACAATTGGACATGGGCGACGAAAGCTGCTATGAGGATACACGCATAGGCATACACAAAATAAAGCACAGGCTGAAACATCTGGCAGCAACGCCTCACTGGGGACACAGACAGAGTTCAGCGTTCCAATACACATACAGGGATGCTATGGCATTAACAGAGTACACCGGTGTGTGTCCATACGCCTGTCCGTGTGATCGACAAATAAAGCACCACCACCATACACACACAGCGACTACGCCTGTTTACATGCACACACAGAAGTACCATGACAGGAACAAAACGAACCTGTCCATGACCATGCGGCATGTACATGGTGCGCCATGGTAGTACGAGAACCCACCTGTGTATATCCATACGCCTGCCCGTGTGGTCCAGATTGCAGAAGTAGTTCTGCGACACCTCGTTTGTGAATGAGCACAGATTGCAGTTGTACCGCCGACCGCCGTCAACAAACTGCACAAAGGGGTTGATGTACGCGTGGCAACGTCTGTAGGAAGAGAAGGCCGATAGAACACAGTGAATAAACCAGTCAAGTATGAACCCTGTAGCCTCAACTCTGATCTAATTTATTTGATGCCACGTGTGCTATCGAAAGCTATGGAGGCAACAACATACTACACATAAGAATAGAGCGGCGTGTCAGCGTCTACATGCACAGACAGGCGATCAATGATCCGACTCAGCGCGAAGTATACTATGGCTGAATGTCACTAAATTCAGAATATTGTACACATTCACAATTCGTGCCGTGGCTTATTCAACAGACATTCTCATAACTTGAAAGACGATGCTTATATATGAACAATAGCTCGATGAAAGCCCGTGGAAATACGAGATTGTCTGTAAAATACACCCATTTGCAACATATATATTTACACACACACACACACGCACACACTTACAATTACACACACACACACACAATATATATATATATATATATATATATGCCATTTTTAATACATATCGTACAATCTATATTTTGATTAATTGTTGTGTAAATACAGCCTACCTGCGTCGAATAATTCCTACGGTGCACACATAGAACGATGGGTGGGTAGTTCGCCCGGGAACACTACTGCTAGAAATTTACCAACTATTTGACTTTCTCCATTTAGCCACCAAAAACGCACCACATACAAGCCTGTATATATGTGTATACAAAACGCATACCACCATCTATATGTGCGAACACACAGCATACCTGCATCGAATGGGCCCGTCAGTACCCATATCCACCAGCGGGGTGGGTAGTTCGCCAGGCAACACTTCAGCCAATGGCTGCACCACTGCTACCAACGGCAGACGCGACGTTTTGCTGAGCTCCTCGGTGTTGGGGATGCTGTTGCAGGTCATGCGCAGGAAGCGTGGTGTGCAATTACCTTCGTCGATAGCTGAGTATAAGGACGAAGGGAGTTGGTATGGTTTGTTTACAGATGTGTATTGGTTTGTGTACGTATGGGGCGAAGAATACGAATACGGATGTGGGTAAGCGACTGTTTGGAGTGCACGTGTATCAATATCAAGGGAAAGAGTTACTGTCCGTGCACCATTGCGCATCCGATCGCGCACAAACTATAGACGCCTACCCAGTTCATCAACGCATATGGAAAACACACATCCATACTCACGTACTAGCACAATGGACGTGTTCACACAGTTGTACCTCGTCTTAAAGGCACCCTAAAACCCCAGAAATCTATGTACACTCCCATGAACCATAATTATCTACAGTCCCACGAACCCTAGACATCTATACTCACTCGAACAGAGACATGCGCGTGGACTTATATTCACGAAGTTGGGTCGTCAAGCACGGGAGCTTGATCGTCTACGCCTTCTCAGCCAGTACAGACTTGCAGAAACTCAAACAAACGCGAGTGCAACAAGATATACGTTGACAACTCGCATAATAAGCGTAGAGCACCACACCATCCATAATGAACATGCGTAAATTCGAAAGATGTGTGCACATATAACACTCGGAATGTACGAGCTTATGCGTGTCACACACACCAACGAAGTTAGTAGATGCCAGGGGTGGGGCGGGCTTCTGCAAGGTGCCGTATCGGGCAGCCTCGCCGTCGTAGTTCTTCTGATCATTGGCCATCACAGTCACAGGCGATGGGATTTGGTCTGGGTCGATCTTAGATGCAGGCTTTTTGGCCCTCTGATGGGGTGTGCGGGTCGAATTGGTGTCAGGTGTCACATTCACAAAGATATAGTACATCTTGCCTTCTTGTTCGTATCCTCGTTTGTGCCAGCATTTTTAAGGTGGTACTTTTAAGCAGATAGGATTGCAACTTGGACTCGCGTCGCAGATCTCAACGAGCAGGCACGTGCCTGAGTGTACAGCACAATACACGTAGTAGCTCTACGCAAAGGGTTCAGCATACAACGGCTAACTACAATTAGATGATGACTGGTATGAAGAGTATCGACACGGACCCCTTTGTGCCGCCACTACACTTGCTTGTCCCAGAGCATATCGACTTACAAGCCCAAGCTCAAGAATTATCTTGACTTTCATCAATGTACTGCAAAGTGGCTTGTATGTTTTGCGACAGCTTCATGATACATTCTATACGCGCACACGGGCCATTCTCAAATGCCACTCATTCTATACGCGCACACGGGCCATTCTCAAACATCACTCATTCTATACGCGCACACGGGCCATTCTCAAATGCCACTCATTCTATACACGCACACGGGCCATTCTTAAACGCCACTCATTCTATACGCGCACATGGGCCATTCTCAAACGCCACTCCAACTACTCCTGCCCATACCATTTCTATTGCCAAGCATCATCGGCCACTTACAGGCATCCCATCAAACCCTCCTCGTAAACAAAAATATACTCTCCGAAACTCGTGGCTATACTCAACTAAATGTTTCACCACAAAATACAAAATATTTTGAAAGCAAGCCATGATCAACTCAAACACCCATCCTATACCAACCAACCGCACACACCTGATTTCCGTAGGGTTGCGAGTTCTGAGCGCCGAACTGTGGCTGTTGTCCATACGGCATCTGCCCCGGTTGTCCTGTGCATAGTGTGGAATGACGTTAGCACTTGCTCTGAATACCGAACAGTGGCAAAATATTCTATAGTACCTAATTACCAGAGTGATGCAAAAATGAGTTTAAATTGACATTGCACTGGACACAATTAAAAGCATCTACCTTGTGAGTACGATTGCTGTCTGCTGGCTGATTGTCCGTACGGTTGTTGTTGGCCGTATTGCTGTTGTTGGCCTGTGCGGATCAAGAGCATGACAAAAAATTCAATCCACAGATGATAAGCGCAATCTGTTGATAGACCAGCAAATACACTGAATCCACACTACAAGGCGAGCTAAGCTGGGCTCTGTTGATATATTTCAGACTCCCGAATATAAGTATCAATTCCAACTAGTGCAGCCACCAGCCACTAATCGCAAATGCATGCACAACTTCACGAACCTTCCCATCCCGAACGCATATGTACCTGCTTGTCCCATACCCGGCTGCTGCATCCCTTGTTGCCCCATACCCGGCTGCTGCATCCCCATCCCTTGCTGTCCCGCACCTGGTTGTTGCATGGTCTGTTGTCCCATACCTGGCATGCCTGGTTGGCTCATGCTGGGCGGTTTCATGCCCGGCTGGCTCATGCCCGTGGGGTTCGCACCCGATTGTCCCATACCCGGTTGTTGCATACCCGGCTGTTGCATACCCGGCTGTTGCATACCCGGTTGTTGCATACTCAGTTGCTGCATACCCGGTTGTCCCATACCCGGTTGCTGCATACCAGGCTGTTCCATACCAGCTTGCTGTATGCCAGGTTGTCCCATAGATCCGCCCATACCCTGTTGTTGTTGCTGCTGCTGTTGTTGTAGTTCAGGGTAGCGTCTATGCGTACTATTAGAGTGGTGTGCCGGTGCCTGTGCTTGTGACGGTGGCATTTGCTGCTGCTGCGTCTGAGCGGGTGGTTGCTGGCCTTGTTGTGGTCGCGGAGGCCCTGCTGATGTATATACGGAGCGAAAGAGACTGTGAGTGCCCATGGGCTGTGACTACTGGAGATTGCTAAATAGCTACCTATACTTCATCGCATTGACAACTTACTGGTGGTCCTAGAACGCGAGTGGGGCATGTGCAGCTAAGTGCTTGTAGCGAGCGAGGAACAGTCCCGACGAGTCTTTTCAGGATTTGATGACACACATGACATGCAAAATAATCAGGCGCCTAATCTGCATTACCACTTTCCCTACTTGAGATGTCAGGGCAGTTTTGGGAGTAAGAAAAGCGGCTTCGTCCAACATCTAACGTCACGCCCATTTCCGTCGAAGACAACACAACCCCAGCTTTTCCCTCGTCACGCGCACATGTGATGCTAAGAACTAACAAGCAGGCACATACATAAGAATGTCAATACATACATATATACCATCATATATCATACGAATCGGTATATATACCTATACCAAGCTCTACACTAAACATACCCGGCTGTGGTGGTTGTTGCGGCGTGCCTGGCTGCTGAGGCTGCTGTTGTTGCATGCCTGGCTGTGCATACGACTGGTGACCCTGACCACTCATAGAGCCCTGTGAGGCGGCTGAACCTCGCGCGGGAGGCTGGCCATAGCCTGTGTTTGTGCCATGGGGATTAATAGACGAACTTCTTTGTTTGTTCGCGTATCCATTTTCGCACAGCAAATGTTATAAATTGCGGCACATAGCCAAATGATTCAACGGAAGTCATGGTACCCGTCACTCAGCGCTTCACCATATGCTTGGTACACCTTTGTCAAAAATATCAGTATATCGACTGAACACTACTCCATAGCCGAGCTCATCTTAATTATCCTATATATCAGTATGTCGCAGCATTATTCCCTAATATATTCTACATCACCGTCTCGATTAACTTACCTTGTTGTGGTGGCTGCTGCTGATGCTGTTGTTGCGGTGGCATGCCTTGGCCTTGGCCGGGCTGTCCGTACTGTTGCTGTGATTGCCCTGGTGCCTGTCCCGGCTGACCATAGCCTGCAGATCAATTCGTAAGTAGCAAATTCCAGGAAATTTATTTCAACGCAAAATATATGCATTTTCTACTCCTAAATGCAAAGTTCAGGGCCTGAACGAGATTTGAACCAGTCAATAACATCATTTGTGAATCTGAAGGCTGATTAGTTCAAGCAAAGAACCATATAGAGGAATATTCATACGCCGCAACCATGCTCATCATTACATACTGACTAGCTATAACCAGATACATAAACCTGTTTATTATTACAAACGTGTGGCAGACAACACACACGGTCGCCCATGATTCGAGACACTTATCACCACGCATGAGTACGAATCTGAGGAAGCGCGAGACGGGCACTTTTCAGAACGGTTGTGTACTCATATCTTATGCTTGCATAGATGTAAGCACGCCTGTTTGTATAAATTTATATATATATATATATATACATATATATACATGTACACACACACACACACGACGCACTATATATATATATACTAATATAATATAACACCACA